TACAGTTTCGAACTTGCTTGCTCGATAGAATTTCTTCGATTGTGACGTCAATTTTGGTTTCGTTTTCGCGCTATCAAACCGAAAATGACGTCACAATCCAAGAAATTCTACCGAATCGAACGGTTCGTTCCTTACAGAATAATGCCCCAGGCCAAGAATCGTAAATTAACAGGATTGCTCATCCTCCTTTCGCTAATTCTCGAGTCGACAGGACCTGCGAGTGACGTCATTACTAATTACCAGTTTATAATGATGACGTCACCGTTTGGCCTCGATGGGATGCTTGCAATTCAGGTTGTGTTTGTTTTTTCGTCGATTTTAAATGTAGAAAAGGTGATCGGCTAATGTATTTTACATGTTGAGGTCTTCGGCTGTAATGGCAGACATTTTTTTCAGTTCAATATATGCAGTTCTATTAGGTTGAGTTTTAAACTTGGGTACACGCAACCGCGATGCTGCTTTCGCTTTCCTGGGATTCCCCCAAACATATTAGTAGTATCGACAAGTCAGTACTTCCCGTTTTTTATTCCAAAGAAGAGAAACAGTGAAATAAAAACATTGCCCCCCTTAAATTTTTCTGGCCCAGTCAGGCCCCCCCTACATACAACCCTGGCGTCACCACTGGTCATATTCAAAATAGTCTCCGAGAAAATTCCTTGTGTGCTTGTGAAGATAAACAGAGGCGCCGATTTTTGAGAATTCGCGCCGCCAGATGCGAATTTTTTTTTCTAGGAGTGTGCGAAAAATGTTTTTTTCTGCACGCATTTAAAGCCATGAAAATATCACTTTTCGCACTAGTGAGAAAAAGTGAAATAGTTATGTAATGTTGAGTCCCCTGGTTCTTTCATGTCCTAAAATATGCGTGCGAAAAAGTACCTGCGTAACTGCGATCATATAACGGAAATAAAAACCTCAAAACACAAAAATTACCTAATAGATAAGAGCCTACTTCCTATATATATTAGGCGTAACGTCATTCCAGAAGTTAACTTTTAGTTATTCTGTCAATTTTTTTAAATAATGCCCGTCATAAAGTTAACGTATTTAGGGCGGGTATTATAAAACTACTTTGAGAGTTAACTTAAAGTTAACTTCTTGAATTACATGTAATTCAAAAAGTTAACTTTAAGTTAACTGTCAGAGCAGTTTTATAATACCCACCCTTAACCTGTTTCTCGGTTCTGATTTATGTATATTAGGTCTCTTCACACAGAAATCACGAACCAGTCAGAGTGAATTTCATTGGTTGGAACAAGTTTTCTGACTGTTTTTAACCAATGAAATTCGCTGTGGCTAATTTATAATTTCTGTGCGAACCAACCTATAAATTATAGAAAGAGATTTTTATTGAAAATCATGGAATCATGAAAAATGTGTCCAAATCATGAGATCTCATGAAAAATCATGAGACCTGGCAACCTTGTGTGCACTGATCTTAACAATGGATTTCACTATAAGGCTAGGCCTTTTGTGTAGTTTATAGTGTTTTCATATTTTAATATGGTAAAAAAGGCGAGCAGGCATAAAAATATTATTATGTATTTCTATTTTTTTTTCTGTCAGACTTAGGGAAAGAGATGGACTTAGGGTGGGTATTATAAAACTGCTTTGACAGTTAACTTGAAGTTACCTTTTTGAATTACATGTAATTCTAGAAGTTAACTTTAAGTTAACTCACAAAGTAGTTTTATAATGCCCGCCCTTAAGGAAGTTATGAGGCAAAATATGAAGCGATGTCACTTAAAAAAAATCTTAAAAACATTACTGATTTGTATTTGTATTATCGACCTTACTAGATTAATAGCGTTTGCATACCTATATCCAACTATTTCTCTAAGCCTGGTATAAAAAAGATAGAAATACCAATTTCTTTTGCAAACCCCATTTTATCACATAAAAACACCATAAACTATACACAAAAACACAATAAATCAAGTTTTTTGGTACTCACCCCTTGAATTGTGGCCCCCATCTAAACCACAAAGTTCCTGTACAAAATAAACACATAATTCGAACCGGGACACTTTTCCGAACACTCTAGAGTACTTTTTCCAATTGAAAACTGGAAAATTCCGAGAAAAACGGGCGGACGAAATAAAAACGCGTTGGCCATTTTCCGCTTATAATGGTTCACTGTCAAGTGTCAAAATTGCCATGCCATTGTCAAAAGACATTCCAAAGCCTACCTGGTTAATTAAAACAATAATAAAGGCTTATAATTATATTAATTATAATTAATTTTAGTGCAATTAAGCCTCAATTAAGTCCTAATTAGTTATTTTATTCGATTTTGAATGGTTTTTGTTGTTTGCGATTGCAGCGCCATCTAGTGACAAATGCGTGTAGTTTCAATTATTGTTTCAAAATGGCTACGCGCTTTTTTTTCGAGTGCTAGTTTTTCGTTGAATTTTCCAGTTTTCAATTAGAAAAATTATATAAAAATGTTCGAAAAAGTGTCGTGGTTCGAATTCTGTGTTTATTTCACCCGGAAAATTAAATTTCTAAGTGGAGGCCGCAGTTTTGAGAGGTGAGTGCAAGAAAATCCATTAATTATTATAATTGCGAAAACCATTGGTAAAATTAGTGCAAAAAACATGTATTTCCGTCACTTTCTTTCACATGCTAGTAGAAAGAACACGAATACACTCAGTGTGCACTCAGGGTTGCCAGGTCGAAAAAAAATTATTCATGAGAATTTTCAATTTTATCGCGGATCGACAAAAAAATGCGTCTATTTTAATAATATGCATTTTTATTGGATAAATAAATCACTTTTATCTGAAAAATACAACACAAAACATAAAATATACCAGAAAAAATAAAATAAAAACCTCAAAACATAAAAATTACTTAATAGGTAGGTAAGGTAGGTACCTACTTCCTATATTAGGCGTAACGTTATTCCAGAAGTAAACTTTTAGTTATTCTGTCAATTTTTTTAAATAATACCCGTCATAAAGTTGACGCATTTAACCTGTTTCTTGGTTCTGATTTATGTATATTATGTCTCTTCACACAGAAATCACGAACCAGTCAGAGTGAATTTCATTGGTTGGAACAAATTTTCTGACTGTTTTCAACCAATGAAATTCGCTGTAGCTAATTTGTAATTTCTGTGCGAACAAACCTATAAATTATAAAAAATATTCATTCTACGCAAGCGCTTGAATGAGATAATGTTAAAATATCAAACACAAAGTTTGAATTTTAAATGAAAATAATAGAATTACCGGAGTATGCGTATTGCGCCAAAAATCATGAGAATTTTATTGAAAATCATGGAATCATGAAAAATGTGTCCAAATCATGAGATCTCATGAAAAATCATGAGACTTGGCAACCTTGACGCACACGCTCTAAGTGACGTTTTGTTTTATTTTAGCCGCCTCTGTCAACTGTCACTGTCAATCAATGAACTATACGCACGGCAAAGGACTTTATAAAAGATCCGCGATGTATCGAGAAGATTAAATCGATATTTTTTCGATATATCGAATATAAAATTCCGTTGTGCATGGAACTGTCCCGATTATTATCAAAGAATAGAGATGGAAAATAGCAGCAACATAAAAGGCAATTTTTCGCGAGGATAATCAAACCAAACATAATCTGAATATGCTCAAATGTTATGTGTGAATTGTGTCACACTCACCTAACTCCCTCCTCAAGTAATTCTGGGACTGCGAATAACGCCACTATCAGCATCTCATAGTGATGACGTCAGTTGCAGACCTCGATGGAATGCTTACCATTCAGACTGTGCTAGTGAGTTAATTTTTTTATCGATTTTAAATGAAGAAAGGATTATTTTCAGTCTGTTCTCACAGAAAAAGTTAAGTGTTCTTGATCCTCGAGTATTCCAGAATTTAATAGTGGGGAAGTTAGGAGAGTATGACAAAATTGATACATAACATCTTAGCATAATCGAGTATGCTTGGTTTTCCTCGCGAAAAATTTCCCATAATGCCTATGTAATAGAGCATAGAACTGACCACATAACGGAAGGACAGAATACTAATACCACTTGCATAGGCCGAGTTCGATTTTGACGATTTTTTCATCTTTTTTGTCGATTTGGTTCGAAATTTTGATAGGCACGTGACTGGATAAGACAGTTTCAATTTACAAATCACGTGCTTGTCAAAATTTCGGAAGAAATCGACGAAAAAGATGACAAAAACGAACTCGGCCATTGTATAATTCTTATACAAAGTTGTGTAAATTTAAATTACATGATACTGATGCTACCACATGGAACGGAATAACCAATAAACACGTTTGTACTTCCGCAATCCCTACGAGATCCCCCATGGGTGCTGCGCACCCATGAGAAGGTTGCTCATAGATGCACCTGCCCCAATGCTCCCATGTAGTCGACGCCAACGATTGTTTGAACTATTCTAATATGCTACTAAACAAACAATAGATTTATTTACTATCACAGTAGGCTGATTTGAAAATTAATTTTAGATTTTTAGTAATTCCAGTATGACTGTTCCAAGTGCACCGATTTTTTTTTATCTCTACAACTGTCCGAACTACTTTAACTATTTTGATTTTGTTCCATTTGCATTAATTAACTCGATTTAAATTACTTTTAGCATTCCATTTGCATTAATTCTAAATATTTGAATTCCTTCTATTGTTCGAGTTATCTTAAGTGTTCCAATTTCTGTTTCATTTGCACTAACTCTGTTCTGTTTGCACTGTTCTAATTGTTACTCTTCGAACTAAAGTGCGACAAGTGAGGGAACCTTGGTAACGTATGAAGTAGCAGAGGGGAAGATGCAAACTATACTATACGACGTAACGGGTCCCCGACGTGGTGCATTGCGAAAATTGCGGTTACCCTGACGCGACGACTCGCGTATATGTATATTTAATCTCGGGTCAATCAGGAGGGTTTCATCCGCATTCCTTCCACACAGGTTCACTCAATTGTCGCACTTTACTCATCGCGCTTCTGTACTTGCGAGTTTTTGAAATTTTGGTGCGAAATGTTCTAGCCAAAAATTGAAATTCAATATATTTTATAATAAATCCTATAAAGTTAGTTTGTATATAAAGAATCTTTTCTAATTTATGAATTTTCACAAATTACATTATTAGTTAATCATTGTTATCATACAAAATTCGTATCATTGTAAAAAAAATATAAATAACAGCTATTTTAAAATTCTTAACTATTTATTCACGCGGAAGTTTGGCCTCTTCCTCTTTGGCCCCTATGACCCCAATTCCCAACCCAGCCCCTTCCACCCCTTTGCCCACGACCCCAACCACCCTGATTTCCGCGACCCCTATTTCCAAGCCCTCTGCCACCTAAAAATAATTTTCAAATATTAAAATTTCAAATTAAAATCAATTATTATTATTTACCATGATTTGATGCAACTACTTGTAGCGATTCTTGGGAAGTTTTTTTGGCCAAATCAAATGTTATTGGGCTGGGAGGACGTTTTGCTTTTGGCGGAGGCGGAGTCAATAATCTTGTTGGCGTTTCTTGAATCTAAATAATATAATTTTTTTGGAATTTTGTCACTTTTTACACGATGAATTATTTTTACCTCAATTTTACATTTAACTACAGTGAAACTCAATTGGACGCTGGCATTGTAAACAGGTGGCTGATTAAAAAAGTCCTTACTTATCTCGAGTAAATTATCGAAAATTTTCAAAGACAAATCAAGCTTGATTTTATCTACTTGAGATAAAGTTTTCTTTAAGTTGCAATATTTTTTGGTTTTCAAGGTTTGGTCCCAATCGCCAACAATAAAAGTCAAATATTGCAAATTTGTCCTTAATCCGTTCAACTTTTCTGAGTCATTCAACAAAAACTCGGGTAAGATTTTGCACAAATTATGAAACGTGTATAAAAGACATTCAATATTGCAAAAGTCTAAATTTGGAGATTCATCAACAGGCACGACTGGAATAAATTCTTTTAAACTTGCCAGCAAACAATCTAAAGCTTCAATTGAGATTTTTTTGCAATGTGAGCTCATCAATGTCAACTGCTTGAGAAGTTCTATTTGATATTGATCTCCATTTCTTAACGATAAAATTTCTTGAAGCTTTGGTAAAACTTTTTGGCAATAATAATTTACAAATCTAGACGAATCACCGTTATTGTTAAATAAAGGCATTATTAATTCCATGCATATGTCCAAACAGTCAACATCATCAAGCTGAAATGATTCAATTATTTCAATTTTGTCCTCAATTATTTGAAAAATTTCTTGTTGCCCTTGCAATTTGGCCCAACTTGTATTCACCAAATACGTCATCAAAATCATAAATTCATCCGTAGAAATAGAACAATCTTTTACCATATGTCTAGCTTTACTTAACAATAGTTCATCAACTTTTTGTTGATCGCTTTTTTCTATCAATATCTTAGTAAGTTTACTATAAATAAAATCCACAGTTTTATCTCTCACAGCACCTTCCTCAATCTCACTAATATTCTTAAAAATCCCATCCAAAGAATCAAGCGGACTCAATTTGAAAAGGTGTCCTAAGCTATCGCAAACAGTGATGTAATCGGGAAGGCCCAATTGCAAAAATTGCGATAACAAATAAGCAAAATATGATGCATCTTGCAGATTATCTTTGCAAATGATTGAAAGGTATTTGATGGCATGCATGCGAGTTTGGCCGTCGTCATTTTCGCACAAGTCCAAAACGCAGTCTAAGGATTGCTGTTGTAAGTGAGGAAAGTGTTTGTAAAACTTTGAGATTATTTGAATGGTCAGTTTGTTCGCTGGCCAACTGTCTTTGACGCCCTGAATGCATTCTTGGTACACGTGACTGTTCTGGAATAAAGATTATTGACTTGGTTTTCTAGAGGCAATCAAAAGTCAAAGAAAAATGGTTCAAATTATGCTCTCAATTTTGAATTTGCTGGTAAAACACTTGAGTGCTATCAGAGCCAGTACAAGTACATTACAAAAGTACTTGAAGTAGGTACAAGTATGAAGTAAATATATTTAATAGTGTGGCGCCCCCCAGGCTGTCAAGAATCTTAGGCATTCGCTGTCGAATATCCTAGAGTCTAGTGAATTATTCTACTTTATACTAGTAATTTTTAAGTTTCAGTTTGACTGTGATACGATTTAAATAGTGATTATTGTTGTGAGTTGTAAAGAGTTTAATTGTTGAGTTAGTTATTAAAGTAATTAGTGTCAGAGTGTATTGTGGAGTGGAATAAATTATTGCTGTGTTAATTGGACTTTGATTTTTGGAATAAACGAAACGAACCTAAGATTTCTGTTAGACAACCCAGAGCCGTGACATTGGTGTCAAAAGTGAGATAAGATTTGAGGACTGCAGTGCAAAATAGTGTGGAGACACTAGTGTAGTGTGAAGACTGAACATTAAGTGAACACTGGGACAGTTACTCAGTGCAAATAGTGATAATCGCAAAAAGAGACTTAACCGATCATGTAAATTACCCCAGACCCAGAAGTGACTATATACCTACACGATTTTGACTGTGATAGTGAATATTTGGGTGAGTTCTAGAAAATTTTATTTGGAAACCAAGGGAGATATCGAATTTTTGACTTCGCCAACGTATTCGGAACATCAATCGACATTCAGAAAATACATCTCGAGAAAATTCTAAAACATTCTATTCGAAGTCAATTTTCTTTGAATTTTTTCTGGAGTGATTTTTCACTGAAAAATTTCGAAATTTCCCTATAATGAGCTCCTCACTTTTCTCTTTATCCTTTCCTTACAAAGATTTTTCACTAGAAAATTTTGAAAATTTCCTATAATGAACTCCTCATTTTCTTCTTTTTTCTGGAAAAATTTCACAAGTTTTGCTTTATTAGTTTTCCAGAAATAAATTAAAATGTGAAAGGATGAGTTTTTCTTAATTTTACTTGAAAAAATCATTTTTTCAGAAGATTTCCTGGAGCGATTTTCCATTGGAAAATTTTGGAATTTTCTTATAATGAGCTCCTGACTTTCCTCTTTTGCCAATTTTCCAGGAAACAATTGAAATGTGAGAGGATGAATTTTCCTTAATTTTACTTGAAAAAGTCAATTTTCCCTAGAGTGATTTCTCACTGAAAAATTTCGAAATTTTCCATCACAGTCGAACTGAAACTTAACTTACAAACCAATGCCGGCCTTCTTATATATCCCTAAATCTATTCCTGTAAAATCTAGAATACACACGATAATCTTATTTTCCAGAATAAAGTAGAAGAATTCGCTAGATTCTCGTATTTCCGCCATCGAGATTGAGATTCTTGACAGCCTGGCGAACGCCGCGCTACAATAATTGAAATTTCAGTCGTAAAAAAAAAGAAGCACCCTTTGTCGTTTGTACATGATATTTAAGAACACCCTGTATAATACGCAGTTAATTAATTTATATATTTGGGACTCCAATGATTTTTTAAGAGCCGGTATTTCAATGTCACCTTAAGATATAGAATAAACATAGACATTGGCAACATTGTCTGACCTTGTTCGATGACGTCATCCTAAATGTTAATATAAGATAAAAACCGTATATTTTAAGGAAAGTCTTGATTTTAACAATATTGTCTAGGAAAATTGTCGATTTTCAAAAAAAAAAATCCTATCCAAAAGAACTTTCCAGGGATGATAGGGGGAGGGTGGGTGATCATAAAACCGGAAATATCAAACATTCACCCCTCTGGCGTTTTGCGGTATAGGGGTTGAAAGTGCGCCATTGACGATTACTTGGTACCTATTGATTTTACAAAAAAAATGTTTCAAATAAAAGATGTGCAACATTATTTGATCTACAATGTTTATCTTAAGACTTTTTTGATTAAGGGCCGTCTGTGGTCATAAGGGCCGTTTGAAATTTTATAATGAAAATGAAAAATTTTAACCAACGTGAAAAAATTTTCTACAACACATACAACATTTTTGCTTTATGAAGTTTTTACTCACCCCCTGCCGTTTTTCAATAGGGGTAGTTTAAAGATTTTAAATTTTTTTAAAATAAAATGTTCTCAATAAAAGTTTTATAAGATTACATTTCCTACAATTTTTCCAAATCAACTTTTTTTGTAACTCACCCCCATTCAGCGGGGGGACACTTCTCTCGGGGAAATTTTAGTTTTTAGGGGTATATATTAATTTTTTTTTTCTTTTCTCGCCTTTAGTGCATATGAAAAGTTGCAATTAACATTGTATTGAAAGGATTTTTTTGCCACCACCTTTTTGTTTTTAGGGGTAGTTCGTTTATTTTCAACTTTACAAAAAAAAATTATAGAGAAAACTTGTTCATTTTATTATTTTGAACAACTTTTCTCTATAACTTTTTTTTGTAACCAACACGGAGAAACCGAGTAAAATGTTACTGGTGCCAAAAGCTTGGACACATGCAATGGGATTGTAGACTAAGAATTTCCTCTCCATCTAGGGATGGTTCCCAAAACTTTTGGAGGTCCAGATACGATAGTCCTAAACATCGACCTGGAAACCCAACCCGCATGAGAAGAACACTAGTCCAGCTGTGAGAAGAACGGGCCTGATCGTTGATGACAAGTGGACTACGAAACAAATGAGAGAAGATCAGGAAGCAAACCAGGACACTAGAACTACCCCAAAAACAAGAAAAACATTGAAAAAAATGCCTTTTTTTCAAATTTTAAGTATTTTTTTTTTTTTTTTTGGTTGGTTCCAGGTGGAAAATCGGGGTGCATTATATGAATTTTCAAATATTATTCCTACATCAATAATCCCTGGAAATTTGAACAGCCTAGCATTAGCTTTTCAGATGATATGAAAGGGGGTTGTTTAATTTTTAACACCCTGTATTTTGGAAATGACGCACTTCCGACCATCGGTGTCCCATCTCCCATCTCAAATTACTTCTATATGGTTCCTCTATATAGCCTAGCATTTTTGACCAGTTGAAGGAGACACCCTGTATAATGCAGTATCACCTATCAGGGCCGCAACTAGGGGGTGGCGCCTGTCTAGGGTGCCGGAGTATCGGAGCGCCGAAGGCGTCTAATTTAATCCATCCATATTTCACAATCCAAAAAAATAAAAAAATGCAACGGTTTTACGCGTCATTTGTCGTAACATGAAAATTTATTTTGCTTGTGTTATATCTCTCTGTGTCAACCATACGAATATCGATTGTAATCATGTAAATTATGTCAAACACAGTACGTGTGCAAAAGGCAGCAGCAAATCAAGGATGATACATACTAATACTACAGGATGGCCTATCCTCATAAGGCCTGTGTGTAACAAATCCCCCCTATCCCCCCCCCCCCCCCTCGCCAAACAACCAGTTGTGACGTAAACAGCATGGCGTTTCTCGCTCTGACGTAGGCCGTTTAAACAGCTGACGACTTAGTTATGACGTTGGCGATGGTTGAAAACAGTTGAAAACTAATATGGTGGCGATTACCAAAAACTAGGCCGATAAACATTCCTTAAGAGTGGCAGCAAATTGCAATGTCTGTGACAAATTCAAGTATTGATGACGTGGCGTCCAACATTTGTTAGCCAAAAATTAGCTTCGAGTCGAGCTTTGATCCGACCAAACTGAGCAAGAGCACTGTGGGTGACGTGGGCGTCCTCTGCATGTTGCATGCATTATCTCTTTTGACCCTTTTCTATTTAGCCGTTAGCCGTTTACGGAAACTATAATCGGGTTAACCCGACCAGCAGCTGAATGTTTTTTATCTTTCCTGAATGTACTATGTACTAACCATGTACGCTCCAGGAGATTGTGGTTCTCTGAATGGTATTTTCTGCTTAATCCTGATGGTTTAGGATGAAAGAGCAGAAGGGCCTTAGTACCAGACAGGACTTAAAGTTACGGCACTTGCATTAGGCCGTAAGATAGGTAACTTACAACCAGACTAAACAGCCATCAACCAGAGTCCTAGAGGTCCCACCAGTAGCGATCAAGAGATTCATCAACCAGAGTCCCAGAGGTCCCACCAACAGCGGTCCCAGAGGTCCAACAAAACCAAGCAACCATCAACCAGATTACCAGAGGTCCCACCAAGAGTGGTCCCAGAGGTCCAACCAAACCAAGCAGCTATCAACCGACTCCCTGAGGTCCCACCAACAGCGGTCTCAGAAGTTCAACCAGGCCCAAGAGCGGTCAATCACATTTTTAGAGCTCCCACCAATAGCGGTTCCAGAGGTCCAACTAAGCCCATTGCAAGATCAACAGAACAATGGCGGAAAAAATGATCTTAGGTGCTGCTCAGTAAGAAAAACTAAGCAAAAGGATCATGCATTACACCAACTGTAAAAATGTTGGCCAATCAAGAAAAACTGAACAGTATGTAGAACAAAAAACTTGGAACACTAGAAGAACTATGGGATACAGTTAAAGAAAATGATCATGAACTAAACCACGCCTACTTTATTAAAAAACACCTGCAACAAATAAGAGGTATGAGACTTGCAAGAAGTACCTTGAAACGAGATAATAATTCATGAAAAATCATTCACCAGTGCCTACTTCAGAGATGATAAGTTTCATGAGTGTCAGATAAAGTATGAAGACACATTGAAAAAATTATTAACGGAAACAATCAAGGCATAAGCTTCATGTCAGCCGCAATTACCACAGACCCAATCAATCTGGCCTGTAAGAAAACATCTTGCGTCACCACAAATAACCATTCCAACATTTCACGGAGGCTACGAGAACTGGGGCTCTTTCCATGATGTTTTTTTTGTGAGTAGTCCACGAAAACATACATTTTTCCAAGGCAGAGAAGATACATGTTCGAGGAGAAGCTGCAAGTAAGACTAAAACCTTTCCACCGAACATGTTGAAAAATTAAAG